AATTGATGAGAAGTAGTAAATAAAAAATAAAAACTCTTTTTGCGTAATCTACACAATTTATAAGTTTTCCTGTATTTTTTGTACAACTTTTCGTATTGTGCGTTGTAATGTATAGATACTCTAATGTCATCAAAAAAGTTTAAAAATAACCAGAAAAGTTTTTAACCCACCATACGGAAGAAAATAAATTCTACAATAAAAAGTGACAGAAATAGAAGTGTTACACCTCTTCAAGAAAAAGTATTTTTTTTATATTTTCATTTAAAACTGTTATCCTAACCCAGTAAATGCCAAAAATTGTTTTGAAACTGCCACTAAATGATTTTACAGCATCAGTTTTATTCATGTTCCATGAAAAAAATTTTGAACACAAAGGATTGGATGACAAAACGGTATATGTTTTTCACATATACTTTCATCTTTTGAAATGTCGCTTTCGTACTCTCTAAAAAGCGCGAAAATAGTTCTATATTATTGATAGCAAACAAAGTCTTAACAATTGGAATTTTAAAACGGTAGGCCAACTTATGCATGTAACACGTGGTGTTTCGCGAGATAAGAGCGTCCGCAGCCCAATCGCACCGGCAACGCTTCGTCTTTCGGGCAAACTCGGCTGAAAATAGATCTCTCGCGCACAGCAAAAAACAACGTAGCCGGCGCGCATCGGACTGCGTAATAAGCACGGGTCAAGGAACGATACTGCGGGCCGCACCACGTGCAGCCGGCTTCGGCGTTGGCTCATTTAAATTTAAACTAGCCGCAGCGCGAAGTGAAAAAAAAAAAATCACGAAAGCGTTTCCGTCTCCTTTGTTCTAGATGCTACTTTTTTTCAACGATATCTCTCTTCTTTTTTTTTTTTTTTTTTTTATTTGCTCGATAAAAATGTTGCGCGCAAAACAGACGAGGAGAAGTTTCGGAGCACTCGTTCGTTAACGAGTGGCGTATACGATCGAGAGCACTGAAGACGACTCTCGTATCGACGCACTTGCTAAGGTATAATATATAATAGGCAACAGATCCAGAGTGTTATCTTGCAGAGCTTAGATTATACTGTACCGCAAGAGGGGGGTACGAATCGTACGATGGCGCGTGTTCGCGCTATCTTAGGCGACTTTGTTCACGAGTTCTCTCTTTGCTCGGCACTACCAGCAACGTTGGGCTTTGGAAAGTTGGTGTTCTCTGTTCTTTAGCGGTTGAGAGCCTCGGTGTGCATTTTTTATCGTTCGACTCAATTCGCTTGTGGCATAGGGTTGCCGTGTTTTTTAAGGATGAATCATCAGGTAGGCGCGCAAGAAAGAGCTTTTTCAGATTATGCGACAAAAGCCACAGTCTTTTTTAAATAATGTTTGTATTACGGCACTTGTGGGGTGAACACTTTTTTTCTTAACGAGGACGTCGTAAACGTAAGAATGTCACGAAAAACGCGTCGAGGTAGNAACTTGAAGATAATGAGGTAGAATTAAACTATAAAAGTAAACCAATAATGATAGGTAAAAAAATTTTCAACGGAGAAAGTTCAAGAACCTAGCGTTCAATTGGTAAATTTTGCTTTCTCGATAGGACAACACCAATAAAAAATACAACTATCAAATATATCTTTTTTAAATAATGTTTGTATTACGGCACTTGTGGGGTGAACACTTTTTTTCTTAACGAGGACGTCGTAAACGTAAGAATGTCACGAAAAACGCGTCGAGGTAGGAAATTGAAGTTTTTGAACTCACCTATGAGGTCGAATCGATATGATACACTGAGAAATGTGGCGTTAAAAAAAGTATTATAACTATACTAAAAATCATGATTGTCAAATTTTTGCTATATACATCATAGTAAATTTTATTACAATCATTTTAAAATGTCTCACATTCTAAAGTAGAATTTTCTATGTGACAGTAAAATTAAGAAAAAAAAAAATCTTTATCTTAATCTTCCATTAGCTACATATTTCCCTGAGCACAAATAATATGAACAAATATATATTTTTCTCTTTCTTGAATATAAAAATTATTTCTGAATAAAGGGACAATCACTATGTTCAATAGCAAATTTTAATATAATTGGGTTTTACTATGTAGCATAATAATTTTTATGATACGGCGAGTATGTCTCAGCTTTCCTAAAAAATATAATAATTTTTACTATGGTAATAATAATTTTTCTAACACCACTTTTCTCAGTGTAGGTATATCATAACACGAGGGTGACAAACACCAGGAGGGAATGCCGTACTTTCTTCCCTTTAAACGTGGGTCAGGGTACCGTAGGGGCCCCTCATTAAATATATGCTATTTGACGGTTGATTTTCTAAAAAATACACTGTGTATAAAAAAAAACTGTAAGTACACAAGATTAGGAAATTGACATAAAAGTGCCGGCAAATGATAATTGTGAAAACTCATAGATTTTTTTGAGTCACCTAGTATTTTCTGCATTAACTCCAAAGTCTGTCGACCAATCGAGTCTCTCAAGATCTCTTGATTCCTAAAAAACAATACCCCCCGTACAAAAAATCACCTCCGTAGAAAACTCGCTACCCCACTTCAGTACCGATCCGTAGCCATATGCAACGACACTAATACAAAAGAAGGGCGAAAAACGAGCTCACTGCTCAACCCCCAGCGCTGAACACCTGTCGCACGCCCCCGTTCCGTACACTACAGGTAATACGTAAATGCAAGACTAATACGTAAGTACACTGTACACACATCGTGTCGAAATCGAAAAAGGATCCCCTGGCTCGGTGAGATATACCTACATGCACCAGTGCACGGTGTAACAGCGTCACCGGTCAGCAGGAGGGAGGGCAAGTTAGCCCCGACTGGTCTGTTACCAAGATACAGGGCAAGCCACAACACAGTGGACACGCATGCATATACACTACACACAGTACTACTGCAGAGAACAGCTTTTTGACTCTCCAAAGGCGAAGATCGATAAACGTGCTGGTTTGCTTGATTGTATCTCGAAAAATCTCTTCTTCTGCGAACCGAATGTAGATCTATGTAAAAAAAAAAAGTGTTCCATAGAATGCCACCGTTTCGGATGTAAAGAGTTTCATCAACGTCACATTATTCGCCCATGTATTGTCAATACACGCGCATCCACGCACAAATTTAATAAGGTACCTGTCTGGCCAGCCAACGGAGTCATCCGTTCGCTCCCTCGTGTCTTGGCGCGTCGATGTGACCATCCATGTATGGGTATTGTATTCTCCGTCTGGTCCGTCTCATCCTCATACGGATCGACCTCCCTCCTGGAGTTCCTCAAACTCGTTTCGGTCCTCTCCGGTATCCAGCTACTGACAAAGAATACAGCTGTTGTCCGTATAGCTGTGCACGGGGTTTCGATGCGTCCAGGGGTTCTTTTTTCTATCGTGCTTATACTCAATGAGTGTGTTGTTACTTGTGCTCACGTTGCAAGTCAGACAGAATCGAGCGACTGCAGAATTCTCTTTTTTTTTGCCGTTAGGATCGATTCATTCTCGAATAATGTGGATGACTATCGATTCATGGGTTACGGTGATACGAGTTGATTCTTGGTTTTGCCTATAGTCAAGGTATAAGACTGACAGGGATAGAGTATTGATCTAATGAAAATTGTTCACTGATCATACAACAGTTTTGGCGATTACGAAATCGTTTGGACTACGTGACTTTCGGTATTTTATTCCGCGAGAATCGGTAGCGAGTTCATGTTACATACGCGGAAGCGTTGCTCCTTGAGCACATAACTGGCACTGGCTTTCCTTTTTCTGTACCATCGTTCATTAGTGATGTTTCAGCATAAAGCGTAGGGTTAAAATTCGGTCACCAGGTCGATCGTTCGCGTTTTTTATACATTTCTTATTGCCATTCATACGTATACTACTGAACGACTGCAATGTGACGTGAACTAATGACTGCGTGAAATCGGTGTACTGAGGTGAACTAAACAAACATTACACTTGATTTAAATTGTTGCGGGTTTATAAGCATATAGGTGTATGTATAAGGATAGCTACATTGTTATGCTTCTGTTCTATGGAAGAGTGTATAAATGATTGCTAGACTCGGGTTTGAGCAATGGTCATAAATATTATCAGTTGAACGTTTGTATTGAAATATCGTTTAGATTGGGTATGTAACGTACCACAAGTAATATAATCTGATCGGAAAACAATGAAAAATGTTGAGAGTGCTCATTACTAATAAAGTATTGACTTCAAATAACACTTTCAGGGTAGTTACGACAGTTTTATACGACAATTAAAAAGAGTTAGATAATCTTGTGAATAAAAATAACACAAGATTCGGGTAGGAAGTTTTTTTTTTAATCGATCAATTTAAGGCAATTGTTTTTGCGAATACGAAGATAACCAAAGTCATAAACGATACCCCACGTGATAAAGACCAACATTCTTTCTCGATCAGATGAAAACACGTAGGTTCTAAGGTGGGCATATATATATTACGCATAAGTGTTAAAAATTACGCATTTCAAAACACGCTCCACTTCTCTTTTTTTTATAGATCAGATTTCTGTGGTGTATGCTATTTCTAAATATTATCCGAGTGACACTGACAACAATTTATTGCGCCTAAGATACATATGCATTTGGAATGCCTTCCAAACGATGATTATTGAAATAGTTTGGCCTCTTCTCGCTGCCAAAAAAAGCTTTCGATAAACGTACAGTTTTCAGATTAACAAAATAATTTTAACACCACGTTTTAACTCCTAAGCTTGCTAGGGTTCTAACTTGAAGATAATGAGGTAGAATTAAACTATAAAAGTAAACCAATAATGATAGGTAAAAAAATTTTCAACGGAGAAAGTTCAAGAACCTAGCGTTCAATTGGTAAATTTTGCTTTCTCGATAGGACAACACCAATAAAAAATACAACTATCAAATATATGTAGCTGTTTGTAATTTTTTTCAACACATCAAATTATTGATAACTTAAAATGACCTCTACTTTACTGGTTTTCTAAAATTACAAAAATCTCGGTAAATAACTAACCTCACTGTCGAGCAAAATTAGTAGCAGCCACAGCAGCAACAGAAATGTCGATGAGGTAAATCCAACAAAGCCGAGCCGCGGATGTTTCGCACATAACTTCTTCACCATGGGATGGTTTCAACACTGTAGCACAAGCTCGAACGATCGAGACATCAACACTGCCGATCCCGTGAACCAGGAAATTCCTTCCTCTAAGGCGAAGGTGAGCACTTTTTTACGTAAACTCTTGTGTGTAATGTTGGTGTAAATATCAAAGTACACCATGCAAGTGACTCTCTTTTTTTTAAATATCTACACCACACGCACCCATACTTGTACGAATCCAGAGACTGTACTTATATGCAAACGCACAAATATTATATGTTTGTGCGATTCTCAGGTAGAGAAAGAGAGAGAAAGAGAGAGGAAAGTACGATTACAGGGTAGGGCCGTTCACTCCGACGACCTTACGGTGCCACTGGCATCAGGCAGGTATATAGCGTAGGCAGGCTAACTCTTGGCTCTCTGAGGCAGCAGGTTTTCTGGCGAACGTATATAGCAACGCTAAGGCAACCATCGACAAGTACCCGATTTTGGTGTTTCACCGTCGTGTGAATCGGTACTTTTTATTCAAAAAAAAGAAAGAACACACTCACTAAAGCACTGGGCGGTCGAACGTGTTTCAAGCTCACAGCTATTCGTGGCCATTCGCACTTTACTGGACAGTACAAAATTTATGAACAATGATGTTAACCATAAACAACAAGGAAAGACTGAACAAACTAATAGCGGACGTTGACAAAAAGCTGAGGCAAAAACTACTGGTGGTCGAGAGTATACCAATGACGGTGGGCAATGATTGCGAAAAAAGTCATAGAAAAAAAAAGGTAAAACTTGGCCGATAGCTATTCGAGTATGAGAAAGTGCGTGCGCGCGCGTTGTATGGACCGAGCCGAGGCTTCGGTAGCACTGCCGAGCGAGTGAACGCTGCTCACCAAGCTAACAATCGGAGTTGGCGCAACTATAGCAGTCAGTCAGGCAGCAGTAGCGTATGTATAGGTAGGTATAGTGTGCAAAACCCTGTCTTTCTCTCTCTCTTTTCTCTTCGAAAGGAGCGACGAGAAAAGCCTGTCGTTGTTGTATCGTCCTCGTGTTCTTATACCTACTCATGCCCACCCTAGTACTTGTAGTTGTCGGTCTTTCTCTCTTTCACCAAGAACGGCTTCTTGTACCGACAGCAGCTCGAATTGCAAATTTTTACGTGCAGATATTCTATACAGGCTTACTATTCTTACAGGCCGTTGTCTCTTTTTCTCTGTGGCACTATTTCAATTACTTCGAAGGGTAAGTAACGAGTATATATTTATAGTCCAGACGCTCAAGGGGGTTGTGTATGAATTTTTATGCATACCTTGATAAAAATAAAAAAATTAAATCTTCAATGTTTAAAGTATTGGAAAAAATGAAAAAAACAATACAGAATAAGATCTGTAACTTATAAAAAGAACTGTTAATTAAGGGTAGTGATCTTTTTATGGTAATTTAAAAAAATATATTTTTATTTCACTTTTGACATTAAACTTTCCATATACTAGAATATTCGCAGACAAAATTTTAGTGAATGTATTATGCACTGGGTCGGTATATTTTTCTCATATATTAAAAATATGGAGTAGAAAATTCCAAATAGTTGTAGATTCTGATAAGTTTTTTGATAATATACACACACACACACATACCTTCAAGTTGTGTAGTTGTAAGGATTCGACTAGTAGCTATACCTCCTTGCCCCTCTTGCAACCCCCTGCAACCCCTTTCCATCCTTGCGAGACGCGAGTAATGTAATTTAACCCTTTTCTTGCCCTGTCCGCGTTCCTCTTTCTGACCCCAGTTCTCTATATAGACGTCTATTAGCTCCTCTTTTCCCCCCTTCAACCGATTAAGTATTTTTTTGCGTTTCCATTAATCCTAACTTTCTTATAAAAGTAAATATTTTTTACAAACTTACCTAAACTATGTAATGTTTTTTTTTTATATTATAGTGCTATACGTCTGGCTCCTATAAATGTCACTGCTCTGAGCACTGAACACTTGGAAGAAGGATGGGAGGCCTCCCATTACTGGGAGAGGTAGGTGAAAATTAGGCAATTTTGCAGCGAGAAGGTCGCCCATCCTCTCCTCGAGGAACATTGCGTGGTGAAAAAGCACATGTGAAAATTCACAGAGGTACTTGCTCGAAAAAGTTGAACTGACCGGGAATCAAACCACGGTCTCCGACGTGCCGATCCACTACCTAGCCGACTAAGCCACCACTATAACCTCACGCCAGATGATGCAAGCATTCAACCAGCCCAACCAACAGCCGCCCCGGGGACGCTCATGAGGTAGGGCATAATCCTGTCAACGCGGACGCTCACCTTTTACAGTCCTTAATTAGTGCCAGTACCACCATCGTCATGGCGAAAACATACTGCGCTGCATTCAGCATTGCACCTTTCACCCTGCAACCAACCATGGCCAGGAAAACGCCTAGAGTAACCTCCGTGCCAGGCAGCTGAGGTAAGCTCCATAATCAATGAAAATCACCTTTTGCTTAACGATCACCCCACAAACTTGCGTTTCCCACATAGAGTCATACGGCACACTGCCAATTGCATTTATCTGGTAGAAGTCAATGGCGAAGAGAGGGTAATCTCAACCAATCAACTTAAACCCGCTTATCTGAAAGGTGCAGAGCCCAATCTACCAAAACAACCTACTATTGCACAGCCAACAACGCCTCAACCAGCTGCCAGTACACCTACAAACCCTCAGCCAAACCAACTCAAACAGCAACCAGCCCTACCAGCTCTCATCGTTCAACCAGTACCTTTTCCAGAGCGACGAGTCACGTTTCCAGTCGTGCCTAGACTGATCTTTAGAGGGAGAGTGGATGTGCCGCCACTGGCGCCACAAGCTAGCATGCCAACAATACATCCTCGACGTAAACAGAAGCTTGAGCTGATAGAGCTCTTTTAGCTAAGGAATTCAAAACTCTTTTACCTCTTTTTCTCACTGCCTAGGCCGCCGCAGCTAAGGCGCTAGCAACGGTGTCGTTAGATTGCTCTCGCCTTCGTGCAGCCTATCTAGACACGCATGCTGTACTCTGGCTCACGTCGTGCTCAAAACCTATAAGTTACTTTAAATTACACCTTTTTTCTTTTTTTTTCGGGTTACCACGACAGCCCTTAGGCCTGGTTACCGGGATCTCCCACTCACCAGCTATGTGTGGAGGTGTATTGCAGCGCCCATTTCCAACCCCTTTACTGATATCATACCTAATCCATGCTTTCTGCACCAATTGTGCATCGGGTCCACTCGCCACTGTGTGGGCCTTTCCTCGGAGAAGACTCCTTGTTTCAGGACGTCCACTCCTCGCCGGTTAAGCCAGCGCTCTCTGCCGGAGCATCGTATCCAGGCTAATTAGCATCCCCGAAGAAGCCCCATGTTTCAGGGACCAGTCCTCGCCGGTAAGGCCAGCGATCCCTGCCTGGCGCATCGGATCCACTAATCTCTACCTATAGCTCTAACACTGTTTCGCATTCACCCAGGCCCGAAGACCTATGGGGCAAGGAAAAAATCCAGGGATTACTCTAAAAGAAGATTCCACAGAAAAACGTGGCCCGAAACAGCCAAGGTTACATAGGTTTAACTTTTTCTGATGAAAACAGTTTTTGAAAAAATCTGCATTCACCGGGAATAAAACCTACAACCCTTAGAACAAGTAGCAAGCACGCTTACCACTGAGCCAACGCCGCTCTAAAATGACACCTTTTGTTTCTGTATTAAAATGAAGCAAAATGCCTTGTTCACACTCTCGCGTGTGTTGTCTCAACGGTCTGTGCTTCGACTCCTGACTCCTCACCACCAAGGCACGACAAAGAGACCAACATTAAAACCTAAAACTTCAATCAGCGTAGTTGTCATAATAGGTTATAAATTAATCCTTACTCGTACAAAACTGTTAGTGATCCAATTCGGTAGAGCTTACATGTTTGGAGCGGAATCATCAACAGATACTTGACTTGCCCAAACTTTTTTGACGATTCAGTAAATCTTATCTTATGTTACTAATATATATACCAAAGTCGCTAAAACTGTTGTAATCACTAACCGCGAAAACTATTAAACCGATTTTGGTGAAATTTCGCATACTGATTCTTGACACTTCCTGAATGGTTTTAGTATAGTTTTTATCTTGAAAAAATTATTAACAATAGCAATTAATAAGCTCAAAGTTTTGTAAAAATATCCTAGATATTTACTTCAGTTCAGTAGGATCCGCTAGGTGGTGTAGAAGTAAAATCGAAACTACCTTTAATAGAATTAAGTAAGTCTGGTTATTATATGCCCGAGCAAAGCACCGAATATTGCAGTCAATCACCGACAGCGTATGAATCATTGAGCAGGGACTGCAGGGAGTCGTGCAACTAGGTATTCCGACTACCAACAACTCTGTTATGTAATGGACAAGTGACTTATACGTCAAACTAAATCCACAACTACCAAGATTGCTGTATGCCATCAATAACATGGTGTTCTAAATGCTAACGTCTCTGGCGAAATACGAAGAGACATGTCTAGTCAGAGCACAATCTGCTCTAGCATTTTGGGGTTTTATAGCCATTCTTCCCACCGTCTTTGGGCTACTAGAGCAGATTTTGCTATAACAGCAAGCCAGAGAAAACAACCTTGAGGAGTTTGGGCAGCCACAACAGCCTCTTTCTCAGTGATCGTCCCAACAGCATACCCACAGAAAAGATATTCTCCAGGACCACTTTCCTGACTAACGATGAGAGGTTGGCTATCTGGCAAACGACCCAAAGACGAGATATTCTTTGATCAGCAGCTTACCTCCCTCCATCACGGTCTCCGTACACAGAGACTCCAAGGATAAGAGTCAAGCTACCCGCAGCTGGCTCTCCATCATCAAGAATAATAATAAGGAATAGCTGAAAGTTTTACCACTGGCCCTTTTCAGAGCCATTATAAGTATTTACGTTCCATTCTCAACCATCAATCTCATAGCTTCTTTTAAAGGCCACCTAAGGTTAAACTACCTTGTCAGAAAATACATTTTTAATACCATTTCTGGCAACAATTCGTCCACTAAAAACTTCATAAAGCCGGTCACTATTAAGCCAAGTCAGTCATTTACTGACAGACGTCACGAGCAGAGTTTTTCGTCGTAAGGCTGGGAACCCCGGTGACCGACAACCCTACATTACTCTCTTGACTCTAAGAATTCAACCAGGAATCACCGATTCTCTCCAAGGTCTACGCTGGGAGAACCTAACAGCTATGAAGGAAAAATAAACTTAAGCGAACGGGACAGTCTCCAACTAGCAAGTATCACGAACCAATCTCTCCACTTTTGGACAACAACGTCTCCGGCGTAATATCAAGAGACGTTGGGAAAGAGCTATACAACTAGCTTCAACGCTTCAGACGTTGTAGTTTTCCTCCCGATCAACTACTTAGATATGTTACAGATATCTGAAACCAGTGGTTCCCCTCTATTTCGTCCAGTAAAAAGCACAATGGGCTCTGAAAAATTCGATTTTTCATCCTACGCAACAATATGCGATACAAAAATTGAAAAACAAGTTAGCTTCTGATTTTTAATGCATTGAAACACTTATATAATAACTAGTACATAGTCTGATAACTTATAACAAAAACATATATCCATTCAAGGGTGTTGAATATCCCGCCTGTCTTAAGATATTATACGAAAGACTTTTGTAAGTGCCGTAACCCGTGCTGCAGTCAGTATCGTAACGAGTGCCGTAGTAGGTATCGTAACAAGTGCTGTAGCAGGTATCATAACGAGTGCTGCAGTAAGTATCGTAACGAGTTTAGTAGCAAGTATCACAGCAAGTACTGTAT